CTTTCTTTTTTAATGTTTTAAAGAGCTCTGGTGGCATAGTGCCTAAGGCATTTGACTGCTAACCAGAAGGCTGGTGGTTCAAACCCACTAGCCACTCCTCAGAAGGAAGACTGGGCAATCTATTTCTGTAGAGATACCACTTTGGAAACCAAGGAGGGGTCACTATGAGTCAGGATCGACTTAAAGGCAATGACTTTTTTTTTTTTTTTTTCCCCAGCAGATTTGCCCAATGCAATATGTCATTTTATTTCTTTACTGATGCTTCCATGGACCTTGATTGTGGATCCAAGTAAAATGAAATGCTTGGCCACTTCAATATTTTCTCCATTTATCATAATGTTGCTTATGTGAGGATTTAATTTTCTTTAGGGTAGGAGGTAGGGGGAGTGGATTTGTGGTTAAGAAGACCAAGGGGAGGGACAAGGAATAGAACCTAGAAGCCCTGGCTTCCAGCCCTGTGCCCTCTTCCCCAGATGCCACTCCCTCCTATGGGAACCAGGGGTGAGGAATGACTTATACCACTCCAGTCTTAATTTCTCCAGTGGAAACCTGTATCTCCCCTGGCCCCCTCCATTATCCCCCATGTTGCTTCACCCTCTCTGCCCTGCATCTTCTCCTGTTTCACGTCTTCTCTAGTGAGCCTGGGGACCTCTTCTGTACTGCACACCGTCTGAGGCTCCTGTTCACTCCCTCCTAGGTTGTAGTGAGTGCCAGCTAAAGGGCTGGTATAAGGCAGACCTGCTGTGCTGGGAATTGATTCACATTGAGCTCTTTAGTCCTCAGGGGGGCTTGGGAGGAAGCTGACTCCGCCACTGACCACAATGTGTTGTAAAAATATTATTTTCTGCGTTTGCCCTGATGTAGGAAAGGTTGGGAAACTGGTTTAAAACACCCAGCACACATTAGATCTCCCTTACCCCAGTGTCTGCCTCTGTCCTGACTACTCTTCTCTCTTGCCAGCTTCCTTGCCCCTCTGGCTCTTAGGGGCATAACTCTGCTGTATTTGGTGAGGCAGAAGCCAAGGACGTGCGGAGGAGGCATTGGAGCTGAAGGAATGGACGGGGCCCTGGAAGGAGAGCAGAAGGCCAAGCAGGGCTGAGGATGAAGATTCAGACCCTGGACACTCTCAGGCTCTCAGGACACACACAGCTCAGGGCCTTCTAGCCATGGGCCTGGCTTCGTGTATCATAATGGAAGTCTGGCATCCAAGCTCCCTCCTCTGGTGGCCCTACAAACTGATGTTAGCCCCCAGGCTTTGTGCCATACCTGGGCACTAAGCCAATGCCTCAGGACTCAGGAGACCAGCCTGGCATCTGGAGGAAAGGCTGCTCTGGACTTATCTCTGGGGAGGGAGCTGACGGACTTGGGGGTCTCCTGCTGCTTAGGTCCTTTCGGGACCCCCACCCCTCCAGGCCCTCTCTTTGCACACTTCTTCTCCCACCTCCTGCCCATCTTTCCCCCACTGTGGTGCTGGGCCTGGAGGTGGTGGGGATGGGGTGGGGGTTTGGCCTTTACCATTTCATGCCTATCTCAAAATGAAGATGCCCTGCAAAGGGCAGTGAGCATACTGCTTGCTGAGTGAAATTCTTTGCCCACAAAGACCCAGCATCTCTCTCCTTCCCCTGTCTCCATGATTTCCCAATCCATAGCCCACTCTGAAATCTCCAGCCTGGGAAGGCGAGGCACTGCGAGCCCAGTAGAAAAAACCTCAGTGGCTCTAGGAAGAGGGATGATAGGTCTTGGATGAGGGGGT